ATGCTATCAAGTATCTCACAGTCTTGAGAGGATGGAGAGCGGTAAAGGAAGAAGAGATAGCTTACCGCATTGAGGAGAGAGAATCGGAGACACATGTATGATTGGTCAGGCGATTCGAGAGAGGACTCTCTGGCCAGAGGGAGATGTTCCTTGACGTAGACACCAAGACCGTGCATGTGGGTTAGAGAGTCTTTTCTGAGGAGAGTAAGATAGCCAGGGATCAAGAGATCAGAAGAGGGGATAGATGAGACAAGGTTTGTCTCGCAGAGAGCCAGTACATCTGGGCCGTTTGCAGTGAGGAAAGATTCCAGACTATAGAAGTTTGTCCTAATGCCCCGGATGTTGGAGAACGAAATGTTGAGGGGTTTAGGTGGTTTCTGAGAGGCTGGTTTAGGGTTAATCTTTCGGTTTTTGTAACTCATGTTGGATTTAATTTGCAAAAATGAGAAGGCCCGAGGTAAGAGAAAACAGACAGTTTCGACCGTGACGCTGGCAGAGAGGAGTTGGCAAAACCAGATCATTATGTGGCCTCAGGGCTGCCCACCGGAGGTGACTGCAGGGACACCTTTCCATGCACGACATGGCACTACAAACACCCGGTATTATACAACTGTTGATCAGAGCAGCCGCTCAAGACGCTATGCAAGAGTTAGGGCTCCTAACTACCAGTCGGAAACAGCAACCAGAGAACTGTCAGCCGTGTACCCTCAGAATGAAGAGATGTTGCCACAGACTGCACGCATCACGGGAGAAACAGACCTGCACTAATACAGAGGCCGGAGAGAGAAGACAGTACTGGGAACCCCTTCCTAGACAAGAAACAAGGTGTAAGCCTCTACTCATGTCCAATAGAAGAGGGAGGAGTGTTGACCGGGCGGTAGAAGAGTCTTTTTGTATTAATGCAGGGGTGTCCCCCAGGGCTCAATCCTTGGACCTATGTTGTTCTTAATTTTCATAAATGATCTTCCTGATGCCATCAGCTCTCAATTCTGTTCTGTTCGGTAAGGTCAAATTGGCAACTGATCTCAAAAATGACTTACAATCTATTGTTAAATGGGGCAAGGAGTGGCTTGTTTTTTTATGCCTCCAAAACAAAACTGCTCTACTTTAATAATCTGAGCAAACCTTTACCATCCATCGGCATGGCTACTGCTAACCTCCAGAGAGTTACTCAGTGCACCTTCTCAGACTAACATTTTCCACTGACGTGAAGTGGAAAGAGTATGTTGAATCAATTGCTGATGTACAGCTAGGAAAGTTGGTTTGTATTAATTTCTGCTCTGTTCATTTTCTTTCTTTTGTCATTGTTTATTGAAAACTTTGTCATTTCTGTTTATTGGGCATTTCTGCCAATGACATATAACACTGTCCATGGTTTTTGTTATCCATATTTTGGCCAATTACTCTACAGTGGACATGATGGTCAACATGCAGTGGAATCACCTGATTCATGCTCTCAATTCTTAATCTGAATTAATGCTAACCTTGAGACTCTGGACAGTTTCATTGAATAGCATTTTGTCTTGATTTTTCTTAAGTTTAAAATTTTTGCCTTATTACTGTTGCTTTGCCTACTTTTGTCTTGCATATATTGTTTTTACCCTGTTCTTTTCTTTCTTTTCTTATTGTTTATTGCAAACTTTGTCAATTCAGTTTGTTGGGCAATTCTGTCAATGACATTTAACCATGGCCAATTACTCTACAAAGGACAATAAAAGAACAGAATTCAGGAAGACAGAAGATTGTGATTGATGTTGCATTTAAATTTTTAAAGATTTCCAGAATTGTGCTAATCTTGTGAGAACCTACTGTGTCAGAGAGCAATAGTCACCCTTGAAATATTAATAATTACACTAATATAAAATTTTGTTTATAGATGAGAAAATAATCTGTGGTGAAGTTTGTGCCCAGAAAATCTGTGCTTCGTCAAAATTATTAATGTAAAACAATAGTGTTTATATGAATTATGGCATACCAATTGAGAAGAAGAGACTGTTCATTTAATCATGAAGTGGGAGAGGTCAGTAATCAGGTTGTATTCTAAGTTTACCAACACCCCAGATTTTTGTCGCTACCATTGTGTTTATTTAAGTGCATGCTTGTGCGAAAACAGTCAGTTGAAGTTTGGAGCTGAATGAAGTGAGTTGACAAGCAGTTAACCAGAGAGAGAGAGATAGGTAGTGAGAGTGAAAGCGTCTGCTTGCTGCTTCTGTATTAAGGGAGGAAGTGAACTCGAGTCATCTGCAATATTGGTGCAATACTGCCAGTGAACCCCCTTATATCCTGATAGTGAAATAATTACAGCAACTACTAAGAACAAAAAGGGGGAACTTGAAAACTACTTCTCTCCTTTCAAAATTATTTACAATATTTGATTTTTCTGGACTTTATTTCATATAAACTACTTTCTTGTAAAAGAAGCATTATTCTTTTTGTACCAATTTCTTCCTTATATACATAAACATAAATTTTTCTTTAGACTCAAAGAACACACATCTGTTTACAGATGTGTGTTGTGGTGGAATGAATATTGGCTCACAATGAGAAATTGGAGTTTAAATTCCAGTCGGGATTGTTGAATTCACTTATGCACAAATACACTTGGGAGAGGTATGAATCAATCTCTTCTCCTCCAAGCTATGGGTTGAATAGCAGGACAGAATAGGTTCTATAGCCTTAGTTGGCAACCAGTCTACTGCAGGAAGAAACAGCAACCTACTGCGGGGAAAAATCTCTGCTTAGTCAGTCATGAATTGAAAGAGACATGATTGCCCAAGCGTACACCACATATGGCACTTAACTGACTACATCGCATATGTCCTGAATAGGAAACAATGTTGTTTAGTATAGGACAGGAAGAGTTAATGAAAAAAAAGCAGCATTTTATGTGTCTAGGGCAGTACTAATTCACCCTGAAGGGTAACCATGTGTACCCCAAGTTAACAGTAGCAAAATTAATGAATTATTTTTAGATTTAAAAAAATATTTGTTTAAGAAATGAGAAGCACGTAACACATGGCGACTAAGTCTAAGTTAAGTTTTTGTCATTTGACATTTAAACTGGATGCTAAATTCCTTAATCTTTAAGAAGGAGTGGATAATTTTCTTCAAGGAATTTAAATCTGTAATTCTTTGCCTCTCTAAAATAAAAGAATAGCAGATTCTTCATAAATCCCTTTAAATGAAAACTGTACTGTTAATCTTCTTTGGAAATGCTAAACCAAAATTTCATATTTTCAAATTTCATGACTGATTTTTTTTCCTTATTAAATTTTAAAGTGCACCCTGAAGTAAAGTAATATATAAAAAAAAAATGAAACACTGATCTCGTGCAAGAGAGCCTGACAGAGCTCATCTCTCTTTAGGCTAGTTTTGAATTGCTCCAAGGCAAGTAAGTCTTCCCTACTGAACAAAGGTGGATTTGTGCCTTTTTCAAGGACATTACCATTGTTGGGTTGTTATTTTATAGTGACTCCCTACCTCAAGAAGCTCCCAAACAAAAATAAGTATGAGGTACTAAAAAGGGAAATGAAAAGAAGGGTACCGAAATATGTTTATCATTTTTATTAAATGTAACAATGTTATCATTGTTGGCAGAACTTGTTTGCAAGTATTGGGATGCTGATCAACATTTCCCTCTGTGTGAAATGGGGTCCTATGTTGGATTAGAAGAGATGTCCACAGCGACCGCATGGTAAGGTAGTTAAGATAGATGAGGTTTACACTGTACCACCTTTAAGATTTAAGGTGAGGTGAAGTTATCAACTCAATCAGTTATGTACCATGCATGATAGAAGCTTAGGCGATTATATATCTTTTGATACATGACTGACGAGGCAGATTTTTTCCTGCAGTAGGTTGCCATTTCTTTCTGCGGTAGACCAGCTGCCATCTAAGGCTATAAAACCCGGTTTGTCCTGCTATTTACCTATAGCTGGAGGGAGAAGAAGAGAATTCATACCTTTCCCAAGGGTATTAGCACGTGTGAATATAATGGATTTGTCTGGAATTCAAACTCAGCTCTATGATTCCTCAATCCAAGCCGCTATCCAGTACTCCACCGTATCTCTGGTTGTTAACTACTCTTTCTGAATATCTTTGTTTCCCATGGCATGAATCTGGACTTCAGTTATGTAAAGAAGAAGAATTGCCACATTCAATGGTACATTTTGGATTTCAATACAAAAGGAATATCCCACATTAGCTAAAAAGACTTTATCAGTTTTATTACAATTTTCTACTTCTTATTTATATGAATTAGGCTTCTCAAACCTAAATAACATTAAAAATAAGAAGTGAGAAAGACTATACTCAACTGAAGAAGAAATGACGGTCTACTTATTGCACATTTGTTGAAGAAATTGTGAAAAAACACCAGGCACAGGTTTCTCACTAAATAACCGGCTCAAATAGTTGAATAGAAACAATGAAATAAAGTAAGTTCATATTTGTGTGTATATTTATTTTTTAAAATCTATCATTTTATTTCATGACATTTAAATGTATACCCTTTAAAAATGCTGTGATGTTTTAATTTGATCCTAGGTGTGCCATTGCTTAAAAAGGTTGAGAAACACTGCTCTAGCCTCTTCTCTGGACTTAACTAGTATCTAACTGTGGCAAAGGGTCTTAATCCATCTCGGTTGTCCCTGCTGTGCCAAGGGCATTATTAACTCACCCCACTTATCTGCTCACTTAGTGAAGTGTTCTATCTAAAACACTACCACAGAACTGACCAGAATTTGAAGTTGGCTTGCTGATTTCACATTCTGCATCGTTAACCATTACACTATCTGCACATCTATACCAATGAGAGCTACTATCATCAATTTACATTTGCATCCTTATTAATCTCACATCTGGTGATGACTACATGCATCAATATCACATCTGTTTTGTTGTCACATCTTGTGACAACTAAATGCATCCATATCAAATTTGCTAGATGCTTAATTTTGTTTAGCTTTTAAAATTTCTCATTTTTTTATTTCTACTTTCAGGTTTTGTTAGAGTACAATTATTATGTTTATGCCTCAGATGAACAAAAGTTAAAAGAAATGCTGCTTACTCCTGGACTGATATCTTGGAAAAATTCCTTTTTTCTTGGTGAGTGAAAGTACAGATTGCTCGAAGCCAATATTCAGCTATATGAAGTGAAGAAAAAGTAACTGTCAATATGGCCACCATTACCCATGAATATGGCCAAATTTACTCATCAGTATAGCAGCCAGAGTAAGAATATTTTTTTGTGCCTTCTCTGTCAAAGATTACAAATGGAATATATTGTGAGCTCATCACCAGACTGATTTTTTTTTTTTTTTTTTTTGACAATAATATTCACCCTGTACAAGACCCAAAAGCCACTCATGGTAGAGTGTCACAGAGTAAGCAGCACATTTAAGGTGGAGTGAATTATGTCATGGTCCTCTTTTTTTTCACAGATGGTGCCCAACTGTCGACAATATCAAAAACAAACAATACACATGTGCAAAACTAAAAATATAAAATGGCGACAATTTACCCATCGCACTACATACACACACACACACACACATACACACACACAATATTTATATTATATATATATATATATATAAAATTAAAAGTATAAAATGGTAACACTTTACCCATCGCACACTGTACATTGAATTTCCTGTCATATAATGCATGTTACTCAAAAAAAATTAATTCCTCTGAAAAAAAACCTAACTTATACTTTGAATTTTGGGTCAACGACAGTAATAGATGAACATCAAAACATCCCTATTTGATATGCAAGTTTTGTAATTCCTCCCAGAATAAAATATATCAATTCTATAATATAAAAAATGTGACTTTATATGAGGTCTGATCAAAAAGTCTCACTCCTTCAAAGTTGTCCTGTTCTGAAGCCGTACACATTATCCAGTGTCGTTTCCATTGATGGAAGCATTCCTGGAACTCTTTTTTGGGGGATAGCATGCAGCTGCTTAAAAAAAAGGTGTCATTTTAAACAGACACTGGGATGATATGGATTGTTTCTCCATCATCTGATGTGTAGAACTACAAGCACATGTTGAAAATTTCTTGGCCACCCACTACCCTCCCATTTCAAAAAATTCTGACCAAAGAACTAGACCTAGGAATTTATTTTGGAATCACTTCTTGTTTCAGGCCAGGAAATCTTCAGCTAACCACTTGTAGATTCTTTCCAATGCATAGATTAGAAAAAGACTTAAAATTAAATTAGATAATTTTTTTGGTGCTACTTAAGTATATGATCTAAATTAAAGAAAATTATCTACATGCACAAGAAAAAAATTGAAAGGTGTACTTGTCCAAACATTACAATCTCATCTAGATTTAATTTGCTGGAAAATTATGTGATCCAATGGCCAAAATTTATTTATTGCATTTCTGAATGAGGTTCAAACTGTTTACAGTCATAGTATTAGTTAAAATAATAATTTCCTTTATTTTTTTCATCATATTGTATTATTTTGTTTAGTATATTATTATAGTATAATAAAGAAAGAGTTTACATGTCTATTTTTAATGTATATTTTAATGCAGAGAATTTTCTCAACTTGTAGATCACATAATTTAGTGCTATGTTGTTCTTGTAGATCAGACTCTTAAGTGGCACCATTTTTTTTTAATCCTTAAAAATGTTTCTTACTTGATTTATATGTTCTCAATTTTGTGCTTTCTTTCTGCTTTTTATAGCTTTTCCTTGTTCCTTCAACTCCATTCTTGCATTAGCTGCTGACAAGCATGGATATTGTCTGAAACATCCGACAGCTGTTTTTGAAATCTATCGATTCAAAAAGGACAACACAAAACCTGTGTAAGCTTTGGCCATATTTTTTTTTTATTTAATATTTACCATTTTCTATAAAATGATTGTAGTGTTTGGTGAAACATCCATGTTAGTATCTGTTTTGTAAGTTGAGAGTTCTTGGCGGAGGTGGGAGGAACTTTCTTATATTTGGAATACAGGGGATATAAGGGTGATTTAACTCAGTGGAAGTGCCATAGCATATCCTAGCAGTAAAGGTCTGAACTGATGGAATTAAAGAATGAAGCTCATCCAAACATTTATTATAATCAGAGCTGGTGCCACCCAGTCTATGATAGGGTACCCTCCATTTTACTGCATCTCACTTTTCATAAAGTAGTATTCATATAAAATTTTGTTGTAAGCTAATTATGTACAATAATAGATCATATGCAATATAGGTGAACAATTCATTTAGAAAAAGTGAAAAGAAATTTCTCTAAATACAAATTAGATACATGTCATAATAGATCATTCCATCTTGAATAAATCAATAAAAAAAAAAAAAGGATAAAAATAAAAAAAATAAAAATAAAAAGAATACCCGCTCGGCCCGGTGGCTAGGATCAAAGTGTAGTATCTGCGCTTTGTGAGCTGCCGGGTCGGGTGTCTGTCGAACTCTCTGCTTGCAGAGGGGAACCTGGACGAAGCTCCGCCGAAGGGTGGGGTTTCGTTCGGGGAGGTTGACGGAACTAGCCCGCTTGGACAGGTTTAGATGGGTTTTATTTTTGGCTGGGCCTACAGGCTCAGACATACCCACATTAAAAAGGCCTTGTGCCACATTCAATTCCTGTGGGTGAATTGATAAATACCATCTTGAATAAATCACAATGTTTTGCAGCAATTTTTAACATTAACTTGAGATTTTTCTTGTTAAAAAGTTAAATAATTTTAACACATCCAACATTATGGGCAAAAAAAATAGTGAATTTTATAAAGTTTTTTTTTTCTTTTTAGACTTGGCATGAGCAAACCAAATTCACAGATTTTGGTCAATAGACCCCAGAATGACGTCAAAATCCTCCAAAAAATTTTCATCCTTTAATAGTCAGTTCTACTTAGTTTAATTTGTAATATATAAATATAGGTAGAAAAAGCAAATGTTGATAAGATAGCAAGGATCACAAAGCACTGTCTGGGGGTCCCCAATAAGGCTTGACCTCCCTTTCAGAGCTAGTACATGCAGGCCCTGAAAGCTGGTTTTAGCTGTGAAAATACAATCCTAATTAAGCAGAGGAACAGACTGAACCTGAAAGAACATGGAGATTTAACCATTGCAATTTAGAATTATCTACTTGTTTTATTAAGCACTTTCAAAAATTTTCATCTGGAACTGATAATATTTTGTATGAAACAAAAGCCATCGAAGAAAACTATATACCAAATACAAATCAATTTCTAAAAAGTAATTGATTATTTTATTTATTTATTTTTAATTAGAAATTCTTTAGAAATTGCTTTGTTTACGTTTTGGATACGAAACTGAGCACTTAGGAAATGTTGAGTCTAAAATGAGAGAGATATACTTAAAAAGCAGTATACAACCTTACTTGATCAACAATGACCATTGTCATCCAAGTCAGTTAAAAGCAAATCAGTTTCTCCTGCAAAGACAGACACAGGTACGAATCCTGCCAGAGGGAGTATTTTACTTAAATATTATTTTTCAAATATCCAGGCTGGTAGACGAAAATAAAATCAAATATGGGTATCCACTAAAAATAACATTTAAAGTGATAAAAGTACCAGATACACTATACACCTGAGGTAGGTTGGGGAACCCACTGAATTAAATGCCTCAATCAAAAAAACATTGGTGAAGATATTAGTCTAACTAAATAATCTATAATTAATCTATGTCTTATCTACAGATAATATGTCAGTTGTATTTTAAGGATTTTGTCTGTAAAGTGACTTATGGTCATATCAGGTTGATGTACAATCACCAAAGTTAAGTAACTTCAAGCCTGGTCAGTAGCTAGATTGGTAACCACTTGGGATGACCAGATGCTGTAATTCTAGGTATGTGTATCGTCTTATGGATAATGGCTTTGAATTATTAATCAGAGGGCTGAGTTCCAATTCCTGTAAGGTTCATTATATTCACTTATCTGCAAATAGCCATGGGAAAGGTATTAACCCACCTCTTTTCCCTCCAGCTATGGGTTAATTAATAAGACTCATATCACTAAAAGTAGATCTCCCCCTAAAAATCTTACAATCTAAAAATACTCTTGAGAAAGATATCCACTTCTTTTCCTCCCAGCTATGGGTCAATTAGTAAGACTTGTATCACTAAACTATTATCTTCCCACAAAAATCTTATAACCTAAAAATATTTTCTGTCTTTAAATAACCTTCAAAGGGTTGATAAGACATAGAAAATGAATGAATCAAAATCATGTCTGTGAGGTTTGAGATTTTTTTTTTTTTGCTGTTCTAGATTTATCCCCCTTGCACAGATATTGCGAAAAAAAATTATCAACAGTGTTTCATATTCTTTTTGTATTATAATGATGATGATGATAATAATAATAATAATTTTTTTTTCTCCAAACAGGCAAGTTCCAGAAGATGTCACGGTGCGTGAATTAGATATCAAATGGGCAGATTTGGTTGCTGCCAACTGGGGTTACATCTTCCATGACTACAATGAAACAAAGCAACTGATAAGAATATTCATAAAAACGTACCCTAGCGTTTGCCTGTACAATGCAGAGGGTCGGCCAGTAGCATACGCTTTGGGACAAGAATCAGGTACAATGGGAATGTTGTATGTCGACCCTGACTACAGAGAACGTGGTTTTGCTAAAGTGGTGATTGCTCTCTTAACAAAGAAATACTTATATCTTGGGTATGACCCTTACGTGTCTCTTGACACAAGCAATGAGAAGCTGATCAAACTCCATGTCAGTTTAGGATTTGAGGCAACAGGTTGCACTGTACAGCGGTATATAATATTTCCTAAATAAATAGAGAAACTTTTGGCTTACGGCCATATCACGTTGAAACACTGGTTCCCGTATGACCACCGAAGTTAAGCAACGTTGAGCCTGGCCAGTACCTTGATGGGTGACCGCTTGGAAATACCAGGTGCTGTAAGCTTGGATGTGTGGGTGGTGTAATGGATAATGGCACGGAATTGTTAATTGGAGAGCCAAGTTCCAATTCCTGTCAGGTTCGTCATATTCACTTACGTGCAAATACCCTTGGGAAAGGTATGAATCCACCTTTTTTCCCTCCAGCTATGGGTTAATTAGTAAGACTTGTATCACTAAATCATTATTATCTCAAAAAAAAATTCTTACAATTTAAAAAATATTTTCTGGCTTTAAGTAACCTGCAGTGGGTTGATAAGCCATATAAAACGAATCAATCAATCAAAAAACTAAACTTTTACATCGACATTTGTTCATATTAAGTGTAGATATAAAAAAAAAAAAATCATGTCAAAATTCACTATCATTTTAGAAGACATATTGCACTGAAATGAAAATTCATTGAATTTCTGTCTGAATTTCTGGGATGAGGAATTATCATTATTTTACATGTGGACTATTGCTCTCATCTTTGATATTATCACAACGTTTCGGCTGTTGTGCCTTCCAGCCTTCATCAGATGTGCCTTGATCCAGGGAATTACGAATGAAACCTTTTATTTAACCTATGGGAGTTAGATCATTCTCGTTCCACTGACCATATCTAGATAAAATATCCCTAGACATAGGCAGTGAAATGAGAAAAATCTACCCTTTATATTAAATAAAAGGGTTAAGTCTGAAATTCTCAAGATTGACAGACATCTGATGAAGGTTGGAAGGCATAACAGCTGAAATGTTGTGATAACAACAAAAATGTAGACAGTTGTCAGCAAGTAAAAAGTGTAAATAATAATTTCATTGAGTTTCAGCTTTTGTTAAAGACATTGTCAGACCACATTAAAAAGAAAATTACATTCATTCACCAAGAAGTTATGCAAATTTCATATATAAAATTTAAAGTAAATATTTAAAATTAATATATGCATTGCTATTTTGGATTAGTATGCTTATCTTGATTGCTATACTAATAATATCTAAGTCATCATACTATCCAGCCTTCAGAATTTTATCTTATTCGACTTTCCATGCCTCAGGGGAGATAACTCGTATAAGTTAATTGTCTTATTCACCTTTTTGTTGTTTGTCAGTTTCTTCCATTGAACCAAAGTATGTGACTCTTTAACATGTCCGGTTCACACTCCTCATAAATTTTTTGAACTGGAGTAGAGGTTTATCTCTTGATTCCTGTTTAAGACTGGGTTTCTGGTTCTTCCTAACTACTTCAAATCTATACTTCTAACGTCTCTGTCTGAACTCTGAAATTTTATTTACTAATTTTTTTTTTTTACCTCAATAGGAGTAAATAGGTTTGCCTATCACCCGATACACACTCCTGCACAGACTTTTGAACAGGAGTAGGGATTTATCCCTTGTTTCCTATTTAGGGTTGAGTTTCTGGTTCCTTCTAACATATCTACATAATCTCTAAAATTTTATCTACTTTTTATTTCCCCTTTTCTTCTCCCTCAATAGGAGTAGATAGGTTCACCTATCATTCAGTTCCCACACCTTCCAGGTCTTTTGAATAGGAGTAAAGATTTATCCCTTGTTTTCTGTTTAGGATTCAGCTTTTGGTTCCTTCTCTTTCACTTCCAGTAGCACCTTGCATCTTAGTGGCATTATTGCCTTGCTTAGGGTAAACTGAATTAAAAAAAAAATTCTGGCTCTCTTGCCTTGAGTGGCAGTCAGTCTAGGAGAAGGACTATTCTGAATTCAAGACTGTGAAGAAGACAATGGAAAGCATCTCCACTCTCTAGAGAACCCTGTCTACCATTTTATTTAGTCCATAGTTAGGGGAGAAACAATAGGATTGTACTTTTCCACTGGCATTTGTGTGAAAGTGAATGCAGCAGAATAGGCTGGAACTTGAACTCTGCTTGTTGGTTCCATTTTTTGCATTGATAACCATTTGGCTAGCCACACATCTTTTGCCAGCTGGGGTTAATTATCAAAAAGGTTTGTTCATTATAGCTTTGTGGCATTATCGCCTTATTAGGAGTGAATTGGTTTTAAAAAAAAAAGAAGCAGATCCTGACAGTTGTGAGTTCAGTCCCTAGATCTGGTAGTGCTGAAATGTTATATACTTTGATTCAATAAAAGAAACTGACAAGCAACACAAAGTGGATAAGACTGATGAGTTTCAACTGATAGAAATTATCTCCCCTAGGCATGGAAAACTGTAGTGAGAAAATCTGTGGATTGAGTAAAGTGCCTGGTTCAAAATTCAAAAGTAATGACAGACACCTGAAGATGGTTGGCAGGTAAGTCAGCTGAAACATTTTGAGCCTGCTGGCTTTGAATAGCAAGGCATATAATAATGATAAGGCTTCATCTCAAAAATTCCAACATATATCATATATTTAAAACTGACGAAATATCACCATTCAAGAAAGCATACTTACCTCATTAAATTTTTAACTCTCTCTTAATAAAGAGAGGCTGAAAGATAAACAAGGAAGGCTGAAAGACGAATTCACAAATGTTACCTTTACAAGAATTTATGCAAGTTTAGATTGCTTGTTTAGATTTCAAATTCAACTTGTGTTTTAACATTTGACCTTTCATTTTTTTAAGCTTCACACCACAACTGAATCAACAATTCCATGTTTCAATATGAATCACTGAGTCTATTGTAAATTAAATTCACCCCTATTTTTACATATATAACTTCTAAGAACACTTATTTTTCATACATGCCCCCAGTAAACCGTTGAAATGTTTGTAACATTGTAGACGAGTCTGTTACACGAGAGAAAGAGATAGAGTGTGTGTGTGTGTGTGTGTGTGTGAGAGCAGCGCAATAAAATGCAAAAAATCAAATAATTGCCACTTTGTGTATATCTCTTTTTTTCTGTATATATAATAAGGTACATACAATAAGGTTTTCTTTCATTATTGTGGGAATCTGAATTATTTCTCTTGTTGAGTCACATACTTTATACACACATGCGCATATATATAACCTATCACTGTAAGTATCAGCTCTGAAAGTCTTACTGTTTGCAGTCAAAATCTCACTGTGACTTCATGCATTATTTGCGATGACGTCATATATTATGGATATATATATATATATATATATATATATATATATATATATATATATATATAGTGGCCCATAAAACACATACTGACAAACTGCAGCAATTTTAATTCAATCCACTTAAAATACTATGAAACAATAAACTTTTTAAAATACTGATTCACTTTACATAGTCCAGTTTCAAAGAGAAATAAAACTGATTTCAAAATATAATTAAAAGAAAAAAGTATAACCATAACAGAAGTTTTACTATTTAAAATAAAATTTTTTGACAGTTTGAAATACAAGACTATTTAGAAAAACATTAAATTTTGGCATTAAATGACCGAAACGGATATGCCGTAAACCAAACCAAACCAAAGTGCAGGTTATAGCGGGTTGAACATTGAGAGCCAATATTTATGGGGCAGGTTGAATGCTAAAAATTTAAATATGGAAAACTATGGAGTATTTTTCCCCGGATGAGACTGTTTTCCAGGTTCCATAAATGCATGCAAACCTCCCGTAATTATTTCCACTTTCTTATTCAATACCAAGCCTAGATTTGGAAACATCAAGATTGCCAACTTTTCATCCTGGAACAATTAGAAAAATTTCTCTCCCTCCCTGCATAGTTCTTACTTTTTCTTACTATGATCCATCTTTATCTTCAGTTAGATGTTCTGGTCAGCTTCTATTTTTCACATATATCTAGACAGAGCAGTGCTATTATGATTCTTACTTAATCTGAATGGTTGCTATATCATTTTTTAAACATGCAATCTCAACTTTGGCTCTGTATACAGCATTTTCAGTGAAACAGTGCCTATGTAAGGGGCAATTTTCCTTTTACTACAATTACAGGAGTGTGTTTTTACCTACAGATTTAACCCTTGACACTTTCTGGTTATACCCCTTAATAATCTCCATGTTGAGCATTGCACTATAGCTAATTTTTATTCTATTCTTATTAAAGAACTCATAGAATACACCATTCATTAGTAAGTGTCCAGTATAGTGAAGAATTTAGGTTTTTACTTGTAAATCATAAATTAAATATATGCTCTGTATGACACTCAAGAACTGCCAAGTAAAGTGTATTAGAGATATGCAAAAGTTTTTTTATAAAAAAAATCAGTCTTTCAGCTGTGTATCCATTTTCTAGTTTATGAGAATTAAATCATTGCGAATTTTTGCATATGCATAATAGATGCAAAGAAGCTCAAAATCACATGGTTTAAAATTTGATGAAAAATATCTACATAAGTAAATGTGAATATCAGTGTGTCACACTTTTTCAACTTTACTCCAAGAGGCCAACATATATCATTTTGGAATCAGGCTGACTCTGTGAGCAAATTAAAAACATTTCAGATTCGGACCTGAAATTTTGGATTCCCAAGTTTTCATACTGCAATTGTTTTTGGTGATTATTTTTTTTTTTTATGTGATTTTTTTATCAAATTTTTTGTATGATAACATTTTTTAAAATTTGTGAATAATCAAAATTAATTGTGAAATCCATGAAAAATCACCCATGAAATAAAAATAATTTTTTTTATGGAAAGTAAGGACCTAAGTACATCAAACTGTCTTTAAATCAAATGGCGACAGAAGAATTATCTTTTGAACTTATAAAATGTAAGCTTAATAATGCAATACTTAAATGCAGCAATTAATTTTGAGTTCTATAGTTTGTTGTCTATCGCATATGATAGCAGTATGCCTCGCAAAAAGAAATCTCCACCAACAGAGGACCAGATAGCTATCAAAAGAGCCAAGGCTGCAGCAAGGAAATGAAAATTTCATGCAAATGAGAACCCAGATCAAACGACAACCAGGATAGTTTCCAACGTTGAGAATATGCAAAGACTTAGGGACTCTCAAACTCCCAAACAAGCTGAAGGCTCATTCAAGAGCCCTCTGCAGGTTCTAGCTTGATTGCTGCCCGATATGGCAGCTTTTAAGCTAGCAGTAAAT